CTTTTTCAGAAATATGGGCATTTCTGAGCAGTTTTTGTTTTGAGAAGATCAGGTTCTTGAACCTTTCAAATGGTTTCTCACTTACAGGTAAACCACTAAGGTACTATACCTTGTATCTCAAAGTGGAGGCTAACAGATTTTGAATTGTAACTTTTCTGCTGCAAGAGAAATTGCACTTAAAGAATAGTCTTGCTACTTTACTATTCTGTTAGATCCAGGTCCTGTAGGGTTTTAGTTTGATACTTCAAAATACAACAGATTCTAAGTGGGTAAGAAAGCAATACCAGACCAAGAAAACGGCTAGCTTGTTGGTTGAGATTTAATGGCTCAAAAAAACTAAAATAGTCCCAGATGGACAAATTGCTGTCATCCTTTGTTTCACAAGCTTTAGTTCTCTTTTAAGTCTTCATGGTCAAATCAATATTAAGGCTTAATTCACTGGTGACTTTGAATAAAAATTGCTCCAAACAGATTTCATTGTTTCAGGCTTGTTTTAATATTTTCACCGAGCACTGCCATGCAGTGTAAGTTTGTGTAAGTTTGACTTGTAGGCTATATGTTTTTTGATTACTTTAACTGCATAGCATGGTTTTCATTGATTTTCTAGAAATACCCCAACTTTATATCAAGTCTTCATTTTAATAACAAGTTATTCCTCGCCTTGACTTGTAATTCTCATAACCTTAAGACATATAGTGATAGAGTGATAGTGATTTGGCTGATAGTTGAACAACACACAAGTGTTTAGTGATGTTTAGTTTTCCATTGTTTCTCCTAAAACTTGATACAAGAACCAACTGTCTACAAACATATCAGTTCAGATTTTAATGTTTATCAGATCTGGAGATGTTAGTTATTGTTAGTACTTTGAGTTCATGTAGTTCATAAACCTAAATTACTAAGTCCTGCTCCCGATTCTTGTAATTTTGCTTGCGTATACTATGCTTGAATTCAGCACAACACCTTTTCAAATGAGGAACTGTAAACATTAAAGCATTTAAAAAGTTCCTAAGGTTCCAGGTTACTTAAAGGCACACTGTGGAACTTTTCAACCTTTATAATATATTACCAAAACCCATTGAGATGGTACATCGACTTACAATAGGTTGAATGACACGTCTGCAGTAGCCTGAAGGTGTCTGTATCGCTTTTCCTTGCACTATGTAACTTCGGGTTTCGGGTAGGAACCCGAGCACAAAAAGAACTACAAAATTCAACCGCTTTACGGCATACGTCACTTCCCCCACCACCCACAACTTCCTCAGATTCTGACGTGAGTGCTCAACTCGCGTTTGATTGCCGTCTGTATGTTTTCGTCATGGCCGAACCAACAGCTACAAGGAAGAAGGCAAAGGTTTTGTCAGAGGACACTAAAAAAAGAAAGAAAAAGGCATAGTGACAAATGAAAAGCCAGGACGAGGATCACCATTGGTCCAGCGTTCGCTCGCTGGCGTGAACTACAGGAGGAGGAGGGGTGCCCGACCGATGCTGACGCTTGCCTGCACACAAATGCCGTTTCCAAGGTGACCCAGATAAATCATATGAGTAGTGTAGTATTTTCTGGTATTCCGGCCACAGCCGATGGTGTTATGTGTGTAATAAAATGCCCACAGCCCATTGTTCATTTCTACACACAAGCACAGCCCGCCACAGTGCAGGGCTCGCACAAATAAAGTCGACTCATGTCAAATGTACATTAAATGTAGTGAACGTGCCCACGACTCAGTGCCCACAAACACTACACACAACATGTCCCACGGTTTCTGTAAAACGAAACCAACACACATAAGTTACAGTCAGCTCAGGCCGACGGTGTTTTTAGTGCAGTAAATGTGCCCGCCGTCCCGCGCCCACATTCACTCAGACATGTTTAGCACTAAGCCCCACGGGGCTCGCCCCGCTCGCTCTCTCTCAGCAGACTGCTATAAGGGAATCGAGCGCGGCAAGGCTGCCCGCCTTAAACACTGCAAGCACACACAATCTAAAGACACGGGAGGCTGACCCACTGTCTATGGTCTGACCGGTTGACTGTTTGTTGACCTTTGCGACAGTGCTGCGGAGCTTGTGGCCTCTAGGGACGCTAGACGTGAAAGTTACAGGTCGAGCGCCACTAGTGGCCAAAAGTTCCGCGGTGTGCCTTTAATATGTTCACTCTCATTAATTTTGAAGTGGAGGAGAACGCTTACTGTTGAAGAACCGATGAATGTTTTCCAGTTACTGAAGCCCAGCTCCTTGTTCATTTGGCCAATTGCTAATGAAAGGGGTTGTCAAAGACTGAATTTAACGTAGTTTAAAATGCTCTCAAGCTCCTGAAGACCTGATGTGGACGCTTAGAACTTTTCCAGCTAGAATTCCCAACACCCTTTATACATCCTCTTTCTTCTTTAGAGCTTTGTTTAAAAGATTAAAAAGGTAAACATTTCCTAGCACTTACAGAGGAAAACTGTATTTACGCATGGACATATAGTCTGGTTGATGTTGATACGGCTCATGTGAAGTTAAAAGGTATCATCTGTTAAGTTCTCATTTCAGCAGGAACAAATGTTTGGAAGGCAAATGTTTTTGCTTTTTCTCTCTCAAAATAATTCAGCCCGTTCTCATCCTTTGGCGTCATACATGTGACGCTTTGGACATTTCGTTGAAATCTTACGCACATGGCATCCTTTAGCATCAATATGAGACGCAGAACCCAAGGCGTCATACAGGTGACGCACGTCTAAATCCAACGCACATGGCATCCTTTAGCGTGAATATGAGACGCAGATCCCAAGGCGTCATAACCGCACCCTACCCCAGACCTAAACCTACCCATAACAGTGCGTGTTATATTGACGCTAAAGGATGCCAAGATTTCGACGAAATGTCATATGGCGTCACCTATATGACGCCAAAGGATGAGAATGCGTTGAATAATTTCATTGTCCTGTATAGAATGTATTTCAACTTTTCATATTTTAATACTGTCAGTTGTTAGATGTCACAATAAATGTTTCTACACCAAATGCACTAGAATGGGAAGTATCTTCTGACATTTGTTTATATAGATATATAATATATAAAACAAAATGGTACGTCAGCTTTAGTATTGTCAGCCATAAAACTGCAATAAAATTCTAGTCACTTTTAATGTGAGCAATAACATTTGATTCAATAAAAAAAAAGTTTGGTTTACTTTTAATTAAGCCCTTTCATAGGCTGCTTGTTTGTCTTTATTTGTGACTTGCGGCCAATATAAATACCTTTGTGTGTTTGTGCATGTTGAAAAAGAAACCGTAACTTGGTGTGGCTTGATTGATGGCGGTCCTACGTTGCCAATTATTAGAGCACTTAAAAGGATGCTGTTATGTTCTGCTTCATCCAGCAGACCCCATCCAGAGGTCAGTACCTAAATGTGCGGGTATCAGCCTCTGCCTATATCACTCCATCTTGATGTATGAGTGCTAAGCTACAAATTAAACGTGCTCCGACCTTTTAGGGGGTACTTGCTCAACAGGACGCCATTTGGACTAATTTCTCCATGCGATTTAGACAAAAAGCCACTATGTTGCCTGCTGTAATTACTCAGTGTACACACATCTGGATTTGGGTTTCCAGATGCAACAAGCCATCCAAAAAAGGCTTGCTAAAGTCAGTTGTGACTGTGATGTTAGTTTAAGGTATATGGAGGGTACAAATGCATATTGCACCTCATACATGACAGAGGCATGATTTTTTTCTGATTAGACTTAGATCATTATGGACATCTAGGATATTTAGATTGTTAAAGCATGTTTTATGCTTCTTTTTTAGCTAATGCTGTGTCATATCACCTTCATGGTAGAAAATAAATTCTCATTTCATTTGAAACAACCTTTAGCTTTTCAGATATATTGTGGCTCCTCTATAAAGAGTCTTAGTAATAATTAGTAGAAATAATAATGTGTGCATATTATATAAGAACGTATCTGAACCAGAGCAACCTTTATTCATAAAATTTCAGAGGGCCACAAAGTTTTACAAACTCTCTTACAAATATTTATAACTTTTATTGATAGATTACTTGTACAAGATGTACATTCTTTTTTTAAGTGAAACAACAGAAGAAAAAAAAACTCAATGGTGAATCATGTTTGGGCATGCTTGCATATGCAATATGATGGGATACAACAAATTCCTTGGAGCATCAAGAAAATCTCAACACAAAGTTTCATCCACCATCCCTGAAATGTTTGTAAACTCAAACACGCTACATTTTAGTCAAACAAATGTACTGCAGTCACACGTTTGCTTAAAACTGTTGCAAATGTTAACATTTAAAAAATATATAAAAATAAATGCAAAGCCATGTAAATATGTACACTTGAAATTCGACTATTTAACATTTATAAACTTTCAGATCAAATAATAAATAAAAGCACCTATGACCCCAATGAAAGAAACAGAAACATTCCTAAACAACCGTAATGGTGAACAACGAAAACAGCCCACAATGTAGCGATTATTGTTAGAGGTAGACCTGACCGAGATCTACTACTGTAGTTCAAAGGCAATTGATGTCCGAACTGGCAATTTGTTTCATAGTACGCTTATGGAAATAATAGTTGTATTCAATTTGATATTTTCAGGGAACAGCTTCAGGACAGCTTCTTGTTTATATGGGGGAAAAAAGACTGTGTATGCAGTTGCTAAAACGCATGTCATACTGTAAATGATTTTGGAGCATTAAATAATTCTACCTCTATTAATGTGATCAAATTGTTGTCTTTGGCGGATTTATTATGTTAAAAAACATACGTGTTTATGACCCATGAACCTATAGCAGTTTTGTACAGTGTCAAATGAATTTTCCCTTGTCTGCTTTAAGGTGATATCAGTGTCTCTTTAAATGCTCGTGTACAAAAGTATATTTGAATACCATTAAACTTTGGGGAGTTATGGCACATTGCAAATGAGTCAGCAAATTACCTTTTACACAGCTTTTAAAGATGTGTTTGTGGCAAAGAACTTTCAACACATCGACATCAGTGCCGAAAACCCAACAACTTAAAAATCATTGTTTAATTAGCAAACATCAACCGCTATATTACGTTTTCCATATTTACAGTATTGCACTTAACTGCACATAATTGCATTTCAGTTAAACTGATGTTTCTTAAAATGTTAAATTACAAAGTTGCAGTTACTGTTTATCCTTTTTGAAACAAACAGAAAAGGGGATTTTAAATGTATTTCAGCGAAACGAAAGCCAAATTTGTTTCCCCCTTACATAAAAGTAGTATATCTTGCGTTAAGGATTGTAAACACCTTAATACAAGACCTGAAGTGCAAAAGCTAGGTTCACTTCTATTCCAGGACACATCACATAAAAAAGAGAGCACAAAATATGAGAATGAAAGCTAAAAGTCCATACACATGCCCAGAAGGAAATAACAGCAATGCAACATTTCCTCCTAAAACAGAAAGAATCATAAGAATTCCACTAAAAACCAGGCGATTGTGCCATTGATGTTATTGCTGTTTCCAGTCTTTGTCCACAGCAGAATGACCAAAAAAAAGAGAAGAAAAAAAAAATCAAAAATGCAAATAACGGCTTTAGATATGAATTGTAGTGGAGGGTTATCATGGCAGTGATCAACATAGATGTATGTCAGTTACAATGGAGGCCAGCCCCAATAGGTCTATCCTTCAATTGAGCACGTGCACTAGGCAGCGGCACAGTGGTAGGAGGCAAATATGGCCGTCTCTTTCTTTTCACTTTGAGGTTGAGATTCCAAAGTTTCAGTGTCTGTCCGTAAAAACACAACCTCTAGCCTCACTCTGTGTCTGCCTTTGCTTTTTTTTTAAAAGTCTTCTCTCCTAAACGCTGGTTTTCAGACAGACATCCAGACATTTTTGTATGGTCCTGGGGCTGTGATCTGTGCCTGGAAAGGGCTGAGCCAGTGGCCTCCAAGAAGTCCTGCCTGTTGGGCGAAAAGTAAAAGGTGATTCATTGGTATTTAATTACCTTTCTCTACAAGTGGTTTGTTTTGGCAGCTGGTTTTTTGTGACTTTTTTTCTCTCTCATTCTCTCCCCTTACACCCCTTTTTTCTCTTTTGTTTTTATTTTGTTTTGTTTTAACTGTGAGTGTCACGGCCTTTTCACAGGCTTAGTCTTGTGTTAGAAGCAATTATCAGTTCAGAGCAGCAGAGAAGCCCATGGGGGTCAGAGTCCCAGCGCCTCGGCGTGTTTTCTTGCCTTGAGTCGCAGGTCGGCGATGCTGGAGTTCTTGCTATTGCTCTTGGCAGCCGCTACCACGGCGGCCGCTGCAGAGGCCGAGTCTGCCAGCGACGCGATCGGTAATCCAAAGGGCGGGGGCGGGAACATCAGATAGGGAGCGTGGGCCGCGAGGTGTGGGTGCAGATGAGGATGGGAGTGTGTTCCGACCCCCTCCAACTGTAACTGAGCTTGGACCTGCGGGGCGAGCAAAAACAAACACGGAGTTAGTCAGCGGCCGTGGGGTCAGCTCGAGGAGCGGCAGGGATCCGCTTTCAGGCTCGGACACCGCTCCAACTGTGTGCTTTCATTGAAAACACTCACTCAACTCAGTGCATTCTTTTTCATCTGCTCTTGAGCTGAATTATGCAATGCGTTCAGACAGCTTAATAGTCAAAGGACGTCCATCAGCTGCAAATCTCAGCATATTAGTTTGATCCACACTGAATCTTTCCATACAACCTTTAAAAGCTGCAACATCATGTAATCTTAATTATATATTCAATGGCATAAATAAACAATTTCGCACCCAAAATATTCATTCTCATATATATAAATATTTATTCGCATAGTTCCTAGGGGGAAAAAAAAGATGTAAGCAGGCAGCATAAAATATCAGGTTGCAGATTCTTAGCAATTATTTCAGTAAGATGAGGTGAAAATTAGACATCCGCCGACTTAAAAAGTGACTTATTTTTTATTTTCATTTTTAGTATTCTTCTCATGCATCTTTCTCAGCACAGGGATCATAAATATTTCAAAGCTTTACATTTTGCGGTCCAACTTAAATACCACATCTGACAAGCAGCACAAGTTTTTTGACACTGGGAAAGAATGTTTTACCAGTGTTTCTTTTTTTGTTTTCCACGTGAATACGAAGCATAGGGAGATTACTTTGAAAGGAGGATAAATAATGTCAGACCTGGTAGTCTGTTATTTTAGGAAAATAATCAGGTATGAATACAGCCCGTCTCATCTGAGTTTCTTTGCTACTCACAATTTCTAACCACAGGCCTTCTGACTTTATCCTTGGCACTTGCATTTATTTTAATTACCTCTGTGTGAAAATACTCGTCAGAATTAAAGCAGGACTTGCTCCAGTGTCTCAAATCAGTCCAATTGGACTGTGCAACCCCACTACAGGGGCAGTCAGAACAACAGGTGGTGGACATTTGTGGTGTTCAGTATTCAGTCCTTACGCCTGGGCCCTGCCAATGCTGCTCAGTGCCAATAACCATCAGTGCGTTATTCCTCTTTCATAATCTCTTTTATCTGCCTTCCCCTCGCTGTGCTATTAGCTTAATTATGGCTGCTCTCTCGTCTGGGTGATGCACAGTTCTTCACCACCAGATGAAATGTCTCTCGGTCCCTCTTATCTCATTCGTCTCTCATCGGGTCCCGGAGGTGAAAGGTTCGCGCCCTTCGCACGACGCATGGAGACTAGCGTCAAATCAGATTGGTTGTCAAAGCCTAAACATTTTCTCGGCCACTAGCTACTTTTAGGCAGGTGTTATGGCGGGGCGAGACGTTTATTTAGTCGACTGAACTGCACATTTACATTTGGATGTATGCTGTTATCAAAATGCGAACATTTGAATGCACAAAATATTATTCTTACCTGTTGAAATGGCATTCGGAGTGCGCCCATATTGACGTAAGGAGCTACCCTGCACGCGTCCAGGTGACTCGCGGTGCCCAAAATAACACCTGAATAGAAAAGAATGATAAATTAGCAAAGCTAGTCATGATGACTTTTTTTTATGTCAATTATTTCACCATTTCAATTAAGTTTAAAATGTAATGAGTTCTAAAATGGCGTGTTGTCAGAGCTGCGGCGCAATGAGGTTTGCACGTGCTCAGGACATAAGAGCTGTTGGCTCACGAGCACCCAGGTTGGAGGCTACTCCGACTTGGCCCAAGTCCCGTAAATTAAATTTAAAAAAAATATGCATAAAATAGAAATATAGCCTTATGTTTACACAAAAATTTAATAATTAGGTTATTTATTAAATTATTATTTAAGCATTTTACCTTTGTGCATTTGATTTTCCTGTTTTCGGCATTTCGCTCTTCTGTTCTGAAACCATACCTAAAAAAGAAATAAAACACGGTTATGGTTTATCGTGTTCACCACCATTCACGACCTTTAGGCTACATTAAATTACAAAAAAATAATAATAATAATATTTGCACATTTGTTATAGGCTACACACAGTTTGCCCCTGCAACCTGCATTACAGAAAAACAATGTCGATTTATGTTGTCTTAATTTGTTAATTTTTAGGCTATATTACTTTAGTAAACACTTTAATAGAAAAAGCGTGTTTTGTTATCCATTGTTCCACAACTCTTCATCATGGTTAATATTGCAGTTTTTTTTTATCTTCTACACAATTTAATTCTTTATGTAGCATATTCTTTGACTGGCTCTACGTTTAATAGGCCTACATTTTAGTGTTTTTTTCCTTCCCTTTTTTTGGTAAATAAAGTGACGATAGGCCTATAAGCCTTTGTCAAAGAACCATATTGGCTAACCGACAATTTTACATCGGTGAAATACAGGCTATTCTTTTTTTTTATAAAATCTTTTTTTCCCTCATAAAATTAATTTGCTGCTTCATATAACCTATGTGCTTGAAAAGGTGGGAAATAATAATTTTGAACAATGTGAAATTTAGCCTACTGTTCTCCATCATTACTCGCTCTGGTCAGTTCAGTTAAATCATGCTGGCTATTAAACGCTCAGACTCGCTCATTAAAATTTAAAAGCAAACGCTCTCTCAACCTGTTCTTTGAAAGACAATCCGTTTTTTTCATTATGACATATTATTATTATTATTTATTTATTATTATTATTATTAGTCAATGTGTGACTTAAACTGGGCCACAATGAATGCATCATATTTCAATCTTTGATCGATTGTAATTATCCAGCACTATGCTATAGGGAAAGTGAGCTACACTGGTTTCGACAGTTATTTCTTCATTAAGGACCACTCAATGATGCGGTTCACAAATACCCTAATCTGATTTCCGTTTGATTTTTATTAGAGACAGTGAATAATGACATTTAATTTAGCCCTGCACCAAAAACCGAAAGATATTAGTCGTAATTGAATTACTGCCTTCTCCTCACTGAGGTCTCATAACTTTCAATTAGATTCTTGACAGCTGGTCGGCGTGGGGCTTCTATAGGACAGTAGTAGGCCTGTAGCAGGTTCATATCAACTAAGCTACTTCACGTCCATAGCGTTTAACTCAGACTTTTCTGCGAAATTTAAAATGTGATACGAGTCATAAAATGCCATAGAGAGGCGTTTTAACGCAGTATGAATTTTTGGTTTGAATCGCAGCTCTGACCTATTCTTTGGTCTCCTCTTTTAATCTGATTTCGCCTCCGCTTCTGAAACATTAAAAAATGTCGTGCTTGCAAGCTGTCACACTGGCAAACAATGTTACTTATTTTCCCATTACATTTTGTAACACGAGGTATGTCTCTGTAGGAGTTAAGACCGAATTGAATTATTCCTAATACATTTTTATAGGAACAGTATATCAAGCCAATGGCAGATATTACAAAGATAAGGTTGGAGAAAATGAGGTGAGTGACATAAGAAGGTATCCCCTGCAGCAGCGGTTCAATCTCTTCATTAATTTTAATGATGTGGTTAGATCTTTCTGCAGCACATAAGCAAGTTTTCCTTTGAATATAGCTGCTGCTGCAAGAACTAAAAGGCTACTTCATATCCACACCCACCACTGAAACTGAACCCGCATAAATCGAAAGATAACAGAAATGCTTTGTGTGTGAGTGAATGTAACAACAACTGTTTCCAAATGTTAAACATCTCAGACGCATGGTGTTATATACAAATTTAATCTAGCCTACTTAAGCAAATGTGTAGGAGAAATAAAGGCCTAGCTAGCGACCACAAGGCTACTATTTATTTTATTATATATCAATTGCCAGTTCACTCCTCTACAACAAAACACGTATTCCTAAGAAGTGTTTAACAGTAGCTACTTTATAAATAGAGTGCCTATTATTTCTAACTTTATAAGCTGATAACAAAAACCCTTTAGTTTACAGGCATTAAGTTAGCGTCATAAACTCCTCTGGGCATATGAACATAAACAACACAAAAGCGCTATTATAAGAGACTTATTATTTATATGACTTGCTAATATTATATATAAAAGCAATAAACAGATTATGAATAACCTCCGTGGATATTATTTTTCTCCATTATGCCACGCTGATTAAGGTTATAGGCTACTGTTGTATTTTCACACACAGGCCTAACTTTAAACTATTTCAAGACCATGTACGTAAAACGATGAAAAATGAGTGACACAGAACCCCCAATTGACATTCAGGTTATTTGCATTTCCCCTAAAAGATGCATTCGTTTAAAAATTCATCTACACGCTCTCTGGTAGTTTTCAATTATTCACATTGGCAATATTAATGTTGTAATTTTTGATATTTGCTTGTTTTATCTGTTCTAAAATTGTTTTGTTTATTTATTTATTTTACTACAAAAAAAAGAATAAAAAAATACTAACAATCAGAATCAGTGAAGTGAATGTAAGCTTACCTGCACGCGGGCCTCAGACAGCCCCAGTCTCTGACTCAACTCCTCCCGCATGAAGGCGTCCGGGTAATGCGTCTCATCAAATAAGCGCTCCAGTTCATTCAGCTGCTCTAAGGTAAAATTTGTCCTGCTCCGTCTCTGCTTCAGTTTACTCTGTGCGTCCTCGTCCTCTGATTTCACATCCTCCTTCTTGTCTTTGCAGTCGTAAATTCCTGTGAAAATACAACATGAACACATCAACAAAGCATTTATTTAAAGCGTTGTTATGGGTTTTTTTTTAAATTGCAAATGGTGAGAATTCTACTCAGAATCGGCAGACAAAATACCCTAAATCTAATTAATATGATGTGTCTACACCTTAGCTTAAAAATTCAAACAATTTTGTTATATAAAATATGAGATGAACAACGACTTACTGCTGCTTTGAAACAACATACATTTTGGAAAATCGCTTTATAGCGTACAAATAAAATAGACTTGCAAATAAAACCATAAATGTTCTCGAAACTTTTATATGCATAACTTGTAAGTGGCAGATTCTTATATTTAAGGGACATAGATAAATAGATTAGATCATTGTGTCATTTTAAAATTACATTAAGATATTAGGAGACATTAGAAGTTTACAAAGAGCCAATGCTTTGCACTTTAAAAAAAAAAGATGGAGCTGTATCCTCATTCCAGAGCAGTATTACAAAAAAAAAAGTGTGTTATTTGCAAGTTTTGTAGCCTAAATCAAAACTTGCAAAAATGTATCTTATAAGATAATAAATAGCCTACTTTAATGCTAAATTATTAGCTATATTTACTTATACTGCAATAATTTGTTTTCTCTAATTCTTTTAAAGGTATGGTGTTTGTTGTTTTGTTTTTAATGTATTAATGGCATTTAAATTTACCCATTATTATTATTATTATTAATAATAATATATTTGTATTCCAAAAACAAACTGTCAAAATATTATCACCCACATGGTTCTGTGAAATTATGTTCTTTTTTACTTTTACTTTTTTACTTTAAGTGTTTTGTACGTAAAGAGTAAATACGTGTCTTTAGTCATTTCCTGGCAATTTTAAGAACGCTAAGGAATACATTGATAGATCATTCTTTCAAATTTGACAAGACGGGGCCTATTGTTTTGACTGTAATTACTCAAATGTGAGGACAGACGACTATTTTTTTAATAAACTTATTGTGATTCTCTTACTTAAAATTGCCTATCGTGTATTTCTGTTCTTTTACAAAAGAAAACAGTCCTCTACACGGCACACACATCAACGAACCATTGCATCAGCTGAATACAGCTTGAAATTCTCCACTCGCATGCTAGTTAGCCTCTTAACACAATCGAAATCTTTCTTTAAGATAATGAAAATGACCTCAATATACTGTAATTCAGATTGTATCGATATTTCAACAACGCCAAACGTATTCGCGCGTAAAACCTAGTTGTAAACGCGTCTCCAGTGAAAAACATTACACTTTGCGTATGGTGTAACTCACCGTCAGCAGCCCGTGTCACGTTAAACTCCTTCAATTTCTCCTTTTCCAGGTCTACGTGCTCCTTGTAAAGGTGTACCGGACAATGGTTGTTGTTGGTTTCTGTAATCTCCTGAAGGTTGGTCTCCGAGTTTCCCAGCTCTCTAGCTCGGGCTAAACCACTCTCCAAAACTTCCCTGTACGTGATGCTCTCTTTGCTGGTCTCCTTGCTTTTCTGATCGAAGGATTTCGACACGAACGCCGTGAGTTCTTCCATGGCTGATTACGGAAATCCACTTTAAAATGAATCTAACACGAATCTTTGTGTCTGCTCAGCAGTGATTTCGGCGAAATGTTTGCGTGTAGAAGGTTTAGATCACTCCTGCTGTTATGTCTGTGTTTTTCAGATCACACTATTTATACACGGCCACCTCAGCCCGGCCCCCATCGCCATCATGTCTGGAGTCATTACAGGCGCTTCTGAATTCAACTTTCAGCGGCTTTTCCTCAAATCAATTCTGCACTGGATGGAGTCCCCTTAATTTAATTATAATTAATTAGGATTCCTACAGTGCCGTGTGGTCAATTGGAAATGGGAACCGTGTTTAATTAATTCTGTGATAATTTCACTGACGCAATTAGAGGATATGAATATTGCATCATGACATTATCAGTTCATTTTGGTATATTGACGTTAACATGGACAGAAGCTATAGAGAATTTGCCGATCGAAGAAAAAGAAACAATTCAAGCGAAAATAGACATGAGCGTCCCATTTGTGGACAACTTTTCGATATTTTCATCGCCAGTCATTATTTTCAATGTTTTGTTTAGTTTGTCAGGCTATTCATCGTTAATATAAAAAAGTGTATAATTTATTTATATTTTATATTATTGAACATATTCATATATAGAATATTTAGATTGCATACATTTAATATAGGCTAATTTATCATTACATTTTAAGGCTATGGTATCTTGATAAGGTGATAAACTGGCCGCTTTCATACAGATATTCCAGTTGGCTGTAGTTGTGTCCCATAGGCTGAGCTTTTATTTTATTAGAAAAAGTAATTTTATTCAACATTTAAAAAACATTGTTGTACAAATAGGCCTATCTACTGCAGCCTATTTAACACCCATGAGCAAAGATAAGACAACATTTGGTGTGATTGTAACACAAAATGTCTAGGCGCATTTGCAATAATTGTTTCAGTGTTTCAGTTTAATTGCACGACTAGTCATGTTACTGTACCACTGATAATAATAATATAGGCTATTGTATGTATATGCAAGGCGTTAGTTTATCTATATAGCCTTTAATTAAAATGTGGGTAGCCTACTAAAAATGCTCTCAAAATATTTAAGAATTGAAATATTTTTTTATGTATGGGTATTTTTAATTCTTAAAATGTAATATAAAAAAGATAAATGCATCAGACATAATCATGAGCATTTATTTCTAGTGTGGTTGTTTTAAAAAATGCATAAGTCGCTCGGATATGGTGCTATGATATTATCGCATGCACGGATCAGTGCAGGGCGAGAATAAAAAGGGCAGAATCAAAAGGATGTTATGATCCCCTGTGAATATTGAGCACCGCGGTGTGAAATTGCTCATGTAAACCTCACAGATGACGTGTTTGATAGCGATTTATTTATTAAATCCATCCTCATTCAAGACTGCAGTCCCATATTGGAATATTTTTCTAACATACTGTCATGTGATTCATGTTCTCTAATTTTTGATTCCATTTAAAGAAATCACTTTTTTTCCAAACGAGATTTTTTTTTTTTATCTGTATGCAAAAAAAATAAAAATAAATAAAAAGAGAATTCATATTCTCATCAAACTCGATTCACTCTTTTTTAAGGTATTTTTTTGAACTGGGCAATATTGTCTATATTTAAGCAGTGATGATGGATGGAAACTCATTTGTAGGGTCACGTCAAGGGAAGGATAAAGTGTGTCAGGTGCACCTTTGATTCCGGGAGATTCCAAGAGTAAGCTGAAACACCGCTGCTTATGAAGTTGGATTACTCCTTTCTCAGTTGTTTTTATTATAGCTTAGAGCAGACGGGTAGCCTAGGCCTTAATATTTTCAGCGTTTCTGCTGTGATACCTTCTAGCAGGCCTTTTTAAAAACCTAGCTCACTTTAACGGATTGTAGAACTTCAAAGTGACTGGTGCAGATGCTTTAAAATTAGTCAGTATAGGCTACACTACACACGTGCGGTTCACCATCCACAACAACCTCAAGGGAATCGATACGTAGCCTAGGCTAGATACATACGTGGGTAAACGACAAGTCTGTTCCTCTGCCTCACTAGTGTCACTGAAGTTTAATAGCAGACAGTTCTTAAAGGCGCAGGAATTATATTCTCTCTCTCTCTCTCTCTCTCTCTCTCTCTCTCTCTCTCTCTCTCTCTCTCTCTCTCTCTCTCTCTCTCTCTCTCTCTCTCTCTCTCTCTCTCTCTCTCTCTATTCGTTCGGAAAACGTATGCGACCTTGTTGTTTGGATGAAGTTTATTGGCCAAGTAAGAATGCATTTACCAGCATTAAACATAAACAGCGTTAACAAATAAAAGCTTAGGCTACTGAAAATCGCAGCACAGAGCTAACGAATAAATTCAGTCACTCACTCATTTATCACGTATTATTCGCCCCGTAAAACCTCTTTTTTTGGCTTAATAAACGATATGTTTATTATTTCTTATTAATCGGCATTTTTTATATAATTTCATATCTTGTTCACATATTTTCTGTTATGACTGTAAGGGGTGAGCAGACACAATTAAATCACAATTAAGCTCTAATAGGTTTCACTGGAAGTGACTGAATTAGGGTCGGACAGGTTGATGGATTACAGTCTATATCGGGGTTGTAAAGAAATAAATAAATCGTCAAGTGAAATGTCGATAACTATTTTACAGCTGAAGCCACGGGCGATGTGCGTGAAAATTTATGACATCATTGTCTTAGTCGAAGAAAAAAAAAACACATGGCCTCTTTGAAAAAAAAATGGTTCAACACATGTAAATAATACTTTGTTTTTCAGTTTGCATCCTACAACAGTACCTATATTTTTATTTTGTCAGATTCAGTTTATGTCAAATTAGGCAGGTGCCTATACTGGCACTTTAAGAAATAATTGCTCTGAATTATTTGCATTCCCTTAATCAGACTGCAGAGACAGCAGGCAGGATCCTGCTTCCAGTTATGCAAAACGTAAATGTAATTATGCCTTACTTGTAATTGTGTGATGTTAAAGTTCATCCTCCTCTCCTACCTTTGATTATCTGTTGGCACATTATTAGCAAATAAACAGCTTTATTAAGTTTAATGCCATTTGAGAGAGGCCCGGACCATGTGGCCCCTTAAAAGTAAAGCAAAGAACTGTGATGTAAATTTGTGTCTATTGGCAACATGCCATTTAATCATTCAGCCAGTGAATCAGTCCCCGGTTTCAGCTGAGCTACATGTGTGCCGTGATTCTTCAAGCAGCACTCATTCTTACAAGGGTTATGGAGCTTGTTAATAAAGTGGAGGGGAAGGAGACCCAAGACCTTTCTGCGGGAAGTCCAGGCTTACTCTGACAAATGCCATAACAGCGTTTGAACTTGCTCATTCACTCAGATTAATCCCTTATGTTCACGAGACCAATGCGTTCTAAATTCATATTTAAAATGGTGGCTATTTGGTGTTGTTTTGAGCCGTGCTGATTACTTCAGGGTTTAAACCCCCAATTAAGTGCAATGGCCGACCCCCAGTGGCAGACAGTTTTGAGTGTTATGCACAGGCATGTAGGGAAGATAATGAGGCGTAGTTAACCCTAACAGGCTTCCTTCTGTCTCTTGTTACACTAGTTTGCATTTAACCTTAGAAAAAAATGTGCAGTTATATGTGTTAATTCTGTTACACGCATAATCGTTTATCTCTTTGTAGTCTGGTTTAAAATCAATATACAAATGAGCACTATAATACCTCAGATCTGAGACATGTCCTGAATTTAATTTCTCAGCAGTTATTTCAGTCTAGTACATTTTGTGTGCGTTTGAAACCGCTGAAGCGAAACGTGTACAGAAATTGATTATCAACAAAATTATGGCTTAAAGCCAAATGTCCTGAGTGTTGAAACCCTGAAGCATGAGACCACATTTTTCTCTTACTTTTCCCTCTGCTGCTTTCTTCCCATAGGCTGATGGTATTAAATTGACTTTATCCTTGAAACATAATAATCCACAGAGTACTCTGACAAACCTACCGCCCCAAGCCCTCCACCTCTCCAATCCCACCCCGAACAAGCTCCTCCTGGCTTTTTATTCTGGATACAGCTGATTGTAGCAGCCAGGTTGAGGTGTACGTTTTTATCGTGGTTTGCTGATAACAGAGCCAAACAATTGGCTGCATTGTTGGTCAGAGACGATGTTTTAGATTTGATTCTAACATCACCCCTGAAGCTTGTGGGGAGACATGAAACATGTGAGAATTTCTGGAGATTTCAATCCAGATCAGGCAGCTGCATTTTGGACTTGCCATTTAGCACTTGCAAACACAGTCTACTCGAGAGACTGAAGACTATATTCTATATGCATCTGTTGGGACATGGAGCAATGTCCTTAAATTCTTAAGAAAAGAATATAAGGCTCTTTACAATATTTTATTGATGTTATACTGAGAAAACAGTCAGTCAGTCATGCAAGTACTTCAATGTCAGTCTTGCAAGTAATGTGAGTATGAACTGTTATCTCTGATGATATTGATATATTCTGAATGATACAAACACCAGCTTCACTCTTAAGTCACTTTTTCATACAATATTTATTGACTAAGCTTAAATTTGGTAGTTTGCAGAAAAGGGTCTATTTTAATAATTTGAATAGAAGAAATATTTTAGCATTGAATGTCAGTTCAGTCAGTATATCCGACCCACCACATCACCAAGTAGATCTTCAAGTGACTGTAATGAGTCGTGTATATTAATCCACGATCTACATGGCAACGACCATGTTGTATCTGTCAGAGGTCAAGCGTGCATGTAGCTTGCCAGCCGGGATGTGACAGGGGAATTTGAGTAAGAGGATCTTTCCTGATCATATCAGAGTTAATAGCTTGGGACCCATGGGAAATAAAATGCCTCAGCACAATAAGCTCAAATCAATACTATGAAAAAGAATTTATGAAAGATGCACAATGTGGCATTTCATCCTCCCATTCACAAATAAGCACCATGCTGACTGTCATCTGAGAAAGCTCAGCTGTTTGTGGAAGTCTGAAGATGTTGGTATGATTATTCTGATGGGGGATGAAAGGAATCAGGAAGACTATCCTGCAAGAAACTTTACCAACCAAGTTCCAGGTATGGGACACCATACTTGGCCACATGTCACTTCTCTTTCTACTG